TGTTCTTTCTCCTTTGTGCCTTAGATTCCTGCCCTTCCTCAAGAGGAGAGTTCCTGGGAAATGATTGTTACTTGTGTTCCTAACAGTTTGTCACTAGGTAAGTAAAATCTAAGTAGAGAGCTCAGGATGGGTTGTTATGGGGGTGCTCATTCAGCGGTGGTGGCAGACATGTAGTAGGACCCACCAGTGACACTGTACCTAGACCCTTCAGACTGAAAACACAGAACCACCCAGAAATGGCACCAACCTTTCAGATCAGAATGAGAGTGGCCTGTTTTGGAAGAAGGCTATGGAGTAATTGGTTACGGTACAGATCAGTTAGTAGGGCTCTGGTTTTCAAACCTAGAGATTTCCCAGTTGTACCTAGGGGGAGAGCTATAGATGCTGAATGTTTTGGAGAGAAACAGAGGTCTAAAGAGACATTTATCAAGGTGAGTGAATAAGGAAGAATTGGTAAAATGAACCCAGTAAGTTATAGCCTGGATTACTTTTGAATTCTTGAGAGAGAAACTTCCAATTATCACTAGTCTGCCAAGATATTGCTTATAGGCAACCTAAGGAAATATAATTTCTTTTCACCTATTTTTTTAGTGTAAAGACTATAGGTGGGTAGTAATTTTCCCCAATGCTTAATTTACCCAAGATTAGTATACTTTATCTCTGTCACATTCTCCTACTGTTTATCACTGTTTGATCTTAAATTAGCTGGATTATTAGTAATTGAGTGTTTCAGGATCAGTCACTAGAGGGAATTTTATAGACTTCACAAGACATGTCACTACTGAATCTCTTTCTCCCTGTCACCTATTCTAATCTTTTCCCCGTGTCATTGTTATCTCCTTTCTCTATTATTGAGAAGACGATAAAAATGAAGCCTCCACATTGAGGTCCACAGTTCTGCACAGAGGACATTTTTCTTTGTGAATATTTTTTCAGGCGAGAAGCCCAGCCCTGATGGCACAGTGTTAAATGTCTTGAGGAAGATACGGTGAGTCAGAGAGCCTGGGATCAGGTGTTCACATTTGGAGAAATCGAAGATGCATGCTGAGCAAGAAACGGGAAATCCTGCAGGAATGACTATGAGGACAACATGTTCACACATGTAAACTTTCTCAAGAGAACTGTTACTCTAACAATAATCACCTTTGAGAAAGTACTATGTAAATATGAATTTGAGCGAAATTTCCTCTAAACCTGAACCTATTGGACGAACAGCCCTTCACTGTGTTACAAGCAGCATGTGTTCCAGCTGGGTTTCACTGCAAATGAAACATCAGAGATTAACATGCAGAAGAAACCTTCGAAGTGTGGTGAATCTTCACCGTGTTACAAGCAGCATGTGTTCCAGCTGCAAATGAAACATCAGAGACTTAACATGCAGAAGAAACCTTCGAAGTGTGGTGAATGTGGAAAATTCTTTACTCAGAGATCATCTCTCACTCGGCATCATTTGGCAAGAAGCCCTACGTGTGTAGTGAGTGTGGAACTTGTTTCCATAAAGTCAAATCTTACCCAACGTCTGAAGATTCATACAGGAGAGAAACCTTATAAATGTAATGAATGCGAGAAAGCCTTTCAAGCAAGAACGATCCCTGTCCAGCATCTGAGGATTCATACCGGAGAGAAACCCTATAAACACACAGGATGTGGCAAAGTCTTTTGTCAGAGCCCCTCCCTTATTAAACACCTGTGGATTCATACCGGAGAGAAACTTTATAAATGCACTGAATGTGGCAAAGCCTTCAGCAAGAGCATCTGCCTTACTCATCAGAGAAGTCATTCTGAGAATAAACCTTATAAGTGTAATGAATGCGGGAAAGCCTTTAATCAGAGTGCATGCCTCATGCAGCATCAGAGAATTCATTCAGGAGAGAAGCCCTATGTATGTAACAAATGTGGTAAAGCCTTCACTCAGAACTTGTCCCTTGTTGAACATGAGAGAACTCACACTGGAGAGAAACTTTATAAGTATAGTGAATGTGAAAAAACTTTCCGCAAGCAAGCACAACTTAGTGAACGTTATGGGATTCATACTGGAGAAACGCCTTATGTATGCGTTGAATGTGGGAAATCCTTCAGGCACAGTTCTGCGCTTGTCTGACATCGGAAGCTTCATGCTGGACAATAAAATTTGGGATATAACCAGTGTGGAAAGACTTGTACGAAAATGTCATTTGTTTCTCAGTTCTTAGGAGTTTGAGACTCAGTCTTCATTTGGGATGAATGTTTTATATGTTGAACAAGTGGCAGTGTGTTTTGAAAGAAAACCGACTTGGTACTGGGTAGCCTTGACTTTGATGTCTTCTCTGATACGTAATGGGTGTGTGAGCCTGTTTCCCCCTCTCTCCTCCCCCAAGGAATAGCGAGGCTACTTGTTAGGGTTGTCTTGAGAATAAAATGAGCTGTATATAATAAATAACTGCCATTAATTAGTTTTCAGTTATAGAAGTTCTAGAAGTTTATTAATGTGGCTATTGAAAACAAAGTTCAGCATGGTTTTTTTTTTTTTTTTTTTGGTTCTCATAATTATTTTTTTCTTATGGATATTCTTGACATTACTGTGCCACTGCCATCTTCTAAGATTTTTGGCCTCTTCAGTAGTGGACACAGGTTGCCCTTGGAACTTATCCTTGAAAAGCAAGGCCCTAGAAAGATCTTGGCCTTTGGAAGTGTTGGAAGTGATGTGCCCTTCTCCTTGTGTCATATCAGGTCATGATGTCAGTATGACTTATTACTAGTAATGTTACCTTTGATCATTATAAGCTGGCATCTGTCCGGTTTCTCTACTGTAAAGTTATTAATTTTCCTTTTCTAATTACGAAGTATCTAGTGGAGAGATACTTTGAGACTGTGTAAATATTCTTTTTCCAGTATTATTGGCCACTAATTTTCAAATCTTTTGAGGAATCTCTCCAACACCACTTGTGTATGTTTTTACTATGGCTGCTGTAACAAATTATCACAAGCTTGGTGGCTTAGAGGAACAGAAATGTATTCTCTGATTTCTAGAAACCCGGCCACGTCATTTCCATCTCTGCCTGTCTTCACTTTGCCTTGTCTGTCTAACCTCCCTATGCCTCTCTCTCTGATAAGGAAATTAATGATGGCTTTTAGATAATCCAGGATTATCTATTTGAGAGCCTTAATCACATGTGCAAAATCTTCACCATGGAAGGTTACATTCACAGGTACCAGGGAGTAGGACCTACCTGTCTGGAGGCTGCCATCCGGTCCATTGCAACTTATTACTGTGGAATTTGCCAGATGATTTTTCTATTTCCATCATTACTCCTTCTCCCTTATTTAACAGTTAATTTATAGCCTAAGAAAAGTTTAATAAGAATTTTATTCTATGGATTGCAATCTACTACTATCATGATTTATTTTCTTGTTCAAATTGTTCCGGATTTGGCCATTGGTTATTAGAATGTTTATTGTAAGGAAGACCTATCCCTTCTCTGTTTATATCCTTTTGATATGTCCTCATTCTTTCAGCACTTTCTTTCTTTTCGGCACCAGATGGTCCAGGCTCTTTTTAGTACTCCTGCTTCTGCCCCAGCAGCACATCATTGGCCTGTCTAGCCCTGCTCCTATGATCCATTCCTGAGAACAAATGGGGGCAGTTCACGAGGGAAGAGGACTAGCCTCTTCGCTGGCCCCAAACTCACTTTTCTCAGCAGAACAGATCCTGCATTAACAGGGCCTACTGTTCTTAGTTTAGAGAAGGTGAAACTTTTCTTAAGGCTGCTCATCATCTCTCACATGCTAACATACCTTGGTCTTTCATCACAAGATGTGCTTCCTGGCTGACAATGTACACTTATGTTGTTAAAAATATCACCTATGGTAAAGACTTCATCAATATGAATAAATTTAAATATTTAAGACCTTTATATAGTCTTTCAAATTATTTAAATTTTTCATTTTATCCCATTTATTGTAATAATGTAATAGGCTTTAGCAATATTTCTTAAATTTGACCATCAAAACTATATGGCAGGCTTGTTAGAATTCTGGGCCCTATCCCGTGTAGGCAAGCCCTGAGAAAGAATTTGCATTTTTAAGTTCCCAGGGGTGCAGATGCCACTAGTTCAGGATCCACACTTTGACAAGCACTGGTCTGTTAAAAAAAATACATGAAACACTCTCCTTCATTCTAACTATATTTATAATGCTCTTAATATGCTACTGTTCTGGGTATGGAGGATATAGTGATAAATAAAGACAAAGTCCTTGCCCTCAAGACTCCCACCTCTAGATACTAAGACATATTAAAATTTACAGCAATTAAAAGTGTGATATTGGTACAAGGATAGATAAAGCAGTGATAAAGATTTAAAAGTACCTGGCTTGTATAATGAGTAAGTGTCCATTAAAGACAGTACTGCAGAATGGTTTCAGGACTAGTTTGTGGAATCTAGAGAGTCTATTTCAGGGCTCCCTAACCCCCACACACAAATCACTTTTGAGTATTCTTTAAGACACTAGGTCTTAAAATGGGGGAAAGATAGATGTGGTTGCTCTGAAATGGATGTGGCTGAGGATGGGATTTTGACAAGTCCCCAGTCTTGGTTGACTTGCAGTAATGAAACCTGTTAGGCTATTAAGCAGGGTCTTGGAGTTAATCTAGAAAGGCTCTAACTTTACCGTTCTATCCCTTCTCTACCCCAAAACTTAGAGAATCTCTCTCTCATTTCAATGGTCTTTCAAGTAAGTGAGACACAGATGTAGTTCTAGGACAATTAATTATTCAGGAAAAAAAGTATACCAAAATAAAAATGAACCAAAATAAAGTTTAACATGTAAAAAAATAAAGAATGAGAATATAGGTGATTCTTTATCTGATACAGGTTGGGAAACGAAAAACAACAAAAAACTGACATTACAGATTACCATTTAGTAAGAAAAATATGACTATACTAATAGAAAATGAACAAAAAGTTAATTTAAAAAAATACAAAATGGTCTGTTAACCTATGAAAAACAGTTCAGCCTTCCTGGTAAATCAAAGAAATACCAATTAAATTTATTAAAGTTTTAATACTATGCAATATACATATGACATAATTGTACACTTTGAACCTAAATCATCTTATTAAATAACCAATGTCACTCCAATGAATTTAACAAAAGAAAATTTTTTCAATATATTGAATTGACAAAAATGAAATGGCTGGTGCCAGCCCATGGCTGCTACACGGTTATGGATGAAGTACAGTGAGCTCTTGTAGATGGTAAATTAATAAAATGGTAAAAACCTCTCTAGAAAGCAATTTAAGCATCAAAAGCTTTAACAATATTTAAATACTTTTGTTTCACAATAGATGTAAATCAGGCCATTATGCTGTAGACCTTAAACTTATACAGTGATGTTTATTATTTCTCAATGAAACTGGAAAAAATATTTCTAAGGATTGAAGAAAAACAGGACTTCAATACTTTGACCCAGTAATTCTGCTTCCATTCTTCCATCCTAGAATCATCAGAAATACACTTGGAGGTTTCTGTACAAGCACGTTTGACCACGGTCTTACTTAGGCTGCACATAACAGAAACCTGACAGAGACTTAGATAAGAACCCCATGAGTTTGGCAGTCCAAGGCTGGTGCAGTAGCTCCTCCAGGCATGCCATTAGGATCCAACCTCCTTGAGTCTTTCCACTGGAGCCCGAGCATGTGGCTGCCTTCCTTATGTCCAAAAATGAGCCTGGTACTCCTAGGTTTCATGTCTCTGCTCCGGATAGGATAAAGGGAGAAAGACAAAGGTTCATATTGCCAAATCTGTCCTTTTGCATCAAAAAACCCAGTAGCTTTATTAAGCAGACTTTCACTTGTACTCACTCTTTTTAGTGGTATCAACTACAATCACCAGGTTATACGTTAGATCCTAACTTGTATCAGACCCTTACTTGTAGATGACCCACTTGTATCTCGTAACTTGCCAGAGCTGTCACATGACTACCCTTAGCAGGGGCAGGGGAAGTGTACTTTAAAAAAATGTAATTTACATACATACACGCCCCACACGGGAAATAACATGTTAATAGTCTACAGAGTCAGCATTTCAAGTCAAAGGTGTATTGATGGGTGGACATGTTTTTCTCTTACTAAATTTTTTCTGTATTTTCTAAATTTTCTATAATGAACTTGTATTATCTTTATAATATGAAAAAATATTATTTTCAAAAATACCCCATATACTCTTAAAGACTATACTTATTCATTTTCATCTTCACTGTCGAAAGAAAGGAGGCTGCTGTTTTTGATTTGCTTTTGTGAGTTCTTTTTAACCGAGTCCTGCTCATCTGCCTCATCTTCCTTTGTCTTCTTCTTTTTTGAGCTGGCTGTTAAACCTGAATATTTTTCATCGGAGGAACGCTTGACTGGTTTTCGATACATGATTCTCCCATCAGCTGAAGCTGGTTCTTCATCTGCAGCAAAAACAAAGGTAAACAACTTCCTTCTCTCCTCATTACTTTGCCTTGAAGAATCAGAAGGCAAGGAAATCTCACGCTGTATTTAAGGATGGTCTCGAGTCAGCTCAGTCTGGTCTGCTCCATCCACTGCCTCTAGCAGCATGCAGCCAGACATGCAGTCCCTTATAAAAACTCACTCCCTGAAGTGTTCCAGTCCTCCAGGAATTACAATCAGGCTATAATTTTAACTATTTTGAAAAGTGATTGGAACTCCAGCGTTTTCCAATGTAATAAATATTTAGGAATAATGAAAAATACACTATATAGCACACCACACTTCAGGAAATCATTAAATAGATCTCTGATTAGTCTGTAAACCTAACCACTTATTATTTTAAAAACAAGATGTTTTTACTTAAATTTGCACTTAATCCTCTTAACAACCCCATGAGGAGACATAATTATTGTCTCCATTTTACTGATGATGTAACTGAGGCTGAGAGGTGAAATAACTTGTTCCAGGTCACACATCTGGTAAGTGTTAAAGCCAAAGTTTGAACCCAGGACTGTGTCCTTCGAACTTACCATACTATTATATAAAATAACTTCATACTCCGGGCTCCTTAAACTGTTAGAAAAGCCAGAACACTCTGATGTACCTGCTTTGGCGGCCTTTATTTCTGCTTTAATTTTCATGGCTTCTTCAGCTGACAGGTCTCCCTTTTTTAAAACCACCACTTGGGGCTGTTCGTCTTCTTTGTCACTGTGATCACCATCTTCATCTGGGAGCTGGGGCTGGATTCTCTAGGGGAAAACACAAACACAATATGTAAGCTGCTGACCTTGAACCAAATACGACCACTGTCTGTGAGAAACTGTGATTACTAAACTGAGAAGGGAACTCTACTGACTATATGTGTTTGGCAATGAATTTTCAAGTAACTCTTAAAAGCCTAACCTGTCAGGTAGGGGAGAGGTCTAGCTGCCAGTGAGCCGGGGGTGCTGTCCAACGAGATGAGTTTCCACCTCAGGAGGACCCCAGCTTGCAGTTCCCAGTGTCAGGGGCCCTCTGCTTCACGTATTGCTGGCATTCCCAGCCTGCTCTTCATCAAGCCTTTGTACTTCCACTCAGGGCAGCCTGCTCTTCATCAAGCCTTTGTACTTCCACCTCTCCCAAAGGGTGGCAAAAAATAAGCAACCACCACCAAGCACAGAGAGCAGCAAGTAAGAAGGTACTCTTTCTCCCACCTCTGCATCTCTCCTCCCTTCCGACGGGTATGTTATCAGCTGTTTTCTACGTGTATAAAAATATGGAGTTATCTAAATCATTTTGTATACAAACAGGATACAGTACATAATACTATGTGATGTGCTCTTTTCTTTTTAAATTATGAAACTCCCCAAACATAAAAAAGTGTAGAGAATAACAGAAACCATGCACTCACTCACTATACACATGGTAAAGTTTGGCCAGTTGATTTCGATTTTTAAAAAATGTCAGACACCATAAAAGCCCTAACTTTTTACTCAAAAAAAAAAAAAAAAAAAAATCTTTGTACAATATCTTGAGATACATACAGAATTACCTATTTTTAAAAACAACTGCCTAGCATTATGTATGTGGTCATCTCACGGTTTATTTGACCAGTACCTCGTAAATAAAAATTTTGCTTGTTTCTAGTTTATTTCTACTATGATAAAAAATTTGCACGTTTTTGTTCACATTTGCAAACTTCTATGTAAGATAAATTCCTGGAGGTGAAACTGCTGGGTTGAAAGGCATGTGTACCCATCACACAGTAGTTAAACAGCTTGTTAGCCACCTCTCACAGAGCCTTGTCTCTCAAGCAGGATGACAAAGCCCTGAAGGATCTGTCCTTGCCCTATGACCTCCAGCACACTCCACCACGCTCATGGCCTCTGGACTCCAGCCAGGTTTGAGTCTGCATATCCATGAACATATTATATTAGCTCCTTTGCCCTCCCTCTCTCTTAAAGTTCCCAGTGCCTAGGAAGCCCCACTGACTCTGGCCATCGCTGACTCAAACTACCTCCCAGACTTGGATCCTTTCGAAGTGCTCTCCTGATCTCACCTCCTTTCTCTGGGAACAGCTCTCATAGGTAGCATGTACCACACTGTTACCAATGTTTTTCTGTCTCTATTAGGTGAGCGCCTGTGAGAGAGGTACCATGTGTTTCATGTCCGTATGTAAGGCAGAGAGCTTGGCAAACAGCAGGGACAAGAAATATTTGTTGATCTACTCATGAATGACCAAATAGAATGAAAAATGATGAACTACCTGGAGCCCTGCCAAGGGCTCGTCCACTTTGTCTGCATCCCATGTCTGCTCATCACTTGACAAGTGTATTCTCTTTAAGGATATCCATGTTAGTTTGCTAGTCATTAATTTTGCCTATTTTTCTCTAAAATTTCCAATAAATGACCATAAATAAGTAGGTAATTAATAAGTACACTTAGCCAAGAAAATGAGAAAGTGAAATGAAATCATTCCTGGTGTTCACTAGATCGAGAATCATTAATTCTGACTTTTTGTTTATACAACTGGCTGGAAAAACAAGAGACCAGTCTAAAGAACAGTGGCGGCAACTAGTGAAGACTGTTCATAGCCTCTCCTGAATTTACTCTTGACAAGGTGAATAGGATGATTTAGCTCAATTACATAATGAGTTCCCATGAAACTTTTCTTTTTAACAGATCACTAGAATGATTGTATTGCCAAACTCATTAAGAATGAAGCTGTTTTCACAAACAAGGACATGGGGCATTTCTCTACAGAAAAGTCTCTCGACTAAATAAGCAATCCCAAATCACTGATACTAATTGGAAAGACTCTCCCTCAGAGTTCTCCTAAGTTAGCATTCCAAGCTGTACCCTTCAAAGTTTTGACTATGAACACAGATCATCGCCAGGACCTCAAGCAAACTATAAAATCAGGTCTCATAATTTCTTTACAGCTGAATCCACGTCCCTTTTCTCAGACCTCATCCTCTTTGTCATCATCACCGTTTTTGGTCCTGGGGATCCTTGATATGTTATCTCTAACCAAAAACAGCTCCTTGTTGCCTACTGAATAGTTCATAAGGCCTCACCTCTATCCGCCCCACAATCACTTCTACATACAGTCCAGAACTCACCATGTCTACATTTTTCCCAATGTTGTTGCTTCCATCCCTATCTGCTGACCTACCTATGTATCAAGATTCCATCAGAATATCCCCTTCTCCATGAAGCCTTGCCTGATGACAAGCATAGTAAACTAACCAATGTAACTTGTCACTCACTATTTGGTGCCAGGCACTGTCCTAGGTGCTGAGAAGAAAGATAAGGATTAAGATACTTAGAGTTCGATTTGGTGGTGGAGATACACAGGAGGTTAAGTAATTGCAATGCGAAATGATGCGTATTACATCATTTTGGATATACGGACAAAATGAAGGACAGAGGAGGAGTAACTGGGGGGGGGCTTTGAGAAGTTTCATAGAGATCATGTCCTCTGAAGGCAGAGATGAGGCAGGCAGGAAGGTGTTAAAGAATATGGCATTTGGGGAGCCGTCTTTTTGTCCTTTCAAAGCCTGGCACAGTGCCTGGGTTTGGCCCATACTCACTGGATTGAGTAATTTCACATAAATCAGTCTTGTTTCCTCTATCAAGCTCTAAGTGACTTGAGGGGTGGGTCTTAGTGCAAATGCTGGATACAAAGTGCTACATAAATTCTTTATTTCGCCACACATGCCCTAAGCACAACAGTCTCTATTAGGGAGGCTGGTTTGGATGTGAACCAGTTAGGGTTGAAGCCTGGGAGGGCTGAAAAGTTGACTCCCACCGATCCCATCCCACCGATCCCATTCAAATGTGGCTCTTCCCTGAAGCTCCTCTTCTGCTACTCAGATCCAGGACATCTGCTTACTTTTTTTTTAACTACAAAGCATAGGAATAAATCCAGGGCTTCCTCCAAAGATGTTTCAGACTCGAGGCCTAGGATATCGGGCCATTGATCGAGTAGCCTCAGTTTCTTTATCTGGAAAACGGGACGACGCTACCACCCACCCTGCTAACTATAGGTTTTGGAATAAGCGAGTGAGAAAGAAGAGACAGAAAAGTGGTCTTTGTTAACCATCTACCAACGAGGAGGCGCTTTACCTGCGTCAAGTCATTTTCAAGAACAAGGCAGCACTCTGAAACGACAGAGCTTCCTGGGTGCAAGAGGCTGTTGTTGTTTGAAGAGCCTGGGGTCCGAGGCCCACCGGATTGGGGACCCGGCGCAGGGGAAAGGAGTGACCTGTCAGTACCTGGCCTCCAAGTCTAAGCAGAAGACGGAAGTGCGGGGCGGGCAGCGTTTCCCCGCCGCGACTGGCCCGGGCTCACCTTGGTTTCTACGGTGGGCCCTTCCCTGTAGCCGACCCGTTCTTTGAAGCGGGCCAGGAACGCCGGCTCGGCTGGCCGCACGTACGACACCTGGTTCCGCTTGCTCATGGTTACTCTGGGGAAAAGCTGGCTCCCGCGTCCACATCGAGACTCCAGAAGCAACGGCGCCTGCTCCTGACGTCATGTCGGCCCCGCCCCCTGGAGTGAGGCCGGGCAACATGGCGGCCTCCGTGCTGGCGTCAACGTCTTACTCGGGCGCCAAATTCAAATTCACGGCCATTTTGAGCGGGCGGGATCCCGGCGCGCAGCGCGGCTGGAGGTGAAGGCATCTGCTGCTTTGGTCTCCGGATTCAGGCGTGACGGCGCCATGGCGCCCGGCTCCAAAAGTAAGTATGGAGTCCGGGCTTCGCGACCTCGTCCCCGCCCCCAAACGCACCTGTGGAAGGTTGGTCGCCCCCGGCCGCCCGCAGGGTTCCCGGGTGGGCGTGAATGGTGGAGGCGGACTGAGAGCGGCGGGGGGCGTCTGGACTCTCTCTGACTCTCAAAGACACTGATGGACTTTTCCTTTCCTTCTGTGTATTGGGCGCACGCTACGAGCTCCGCACAGTTTTAGTCGCTTGGGCTGAGCAGTGACATGGAAAAGAGAACCCTCACCCAGGAGTTTGGCTCTGTCTTCCCTCGCGTTCTCGGTCCTGCGGTACCGTAGCTGGCCTCTTTCCTCTCTCCGAACCTTTGTCCGAGAGTTGGCCCTGGCTCTCACCACCTTCTGCGTATTTCCACATTACTGACCTTCCTGAAGGGGAGAACTTATCCATGTGCCAAGCACGTCTTTCTCTTTGGAGGGCCCGATACAGACTCTTAGACAAGGGACTTTTAAAGCGCAGTTTTACAGCGATTTTTTATTCTCACAACCCCTATTTTCTCAAGGAGACCCCTCCAGTTTCTTCCTTTTTCCGTGGAGAGGAGCACTGTCATTTTTGCTTTTGATAAACCCTTTAATTTTCACTAATTTCGTGGTCCTTTGTTGTTCTACGTACCCCACGTCTTACATTGCATAACACATTAAGAAGTCTTGTTTTTTAAAGTTGATTTTGAGCTGATCTGATGGATCTCAGTGAATGTTATGAGTTGTAATGAGGAGAGGCTTATGTTAAAACATGGAGGAAATTGTGAACTTTGGGTGTTTGAGCCTTCCAGCAACATCAATGCTTCTAGCTGTCAATACTAATTCACTTCTGATGTTTGTTTCATTGACCTTTTCCATCCATCATAACCTTACCTGAACACCTTCTTATGCTCTTTTCCACCTAAAATATTCCTTTTCTTCCACCATTTCCAGCATTCAGAATATTAATTAGCACACAAATTGGTACATAATTGGACCAAAATGTTCATCGTGCTTTCTGCACAATCACAGTATTTGTTCAGCAAAGCCGGCCTCAAGCAAGAGAATCGATGCCAGTGAAATGATTGGAGCAAAGTGGTGTAGTTTGTGCCTGTCTGTTAAAGAACTCTGCTCTGTCCATATCCATCATTCTGGAAGTGAGGGAAGCAAGGATATTATTCACAGCTCCCCTTTGTGATGGCCGTGATTTCCATGGGGAACTCTCCCACTCTTTTAAGTTTCTTAGCGAAGTTCAGGTTGATGACATCCCAGGTAAGTGCCCTTGCATTCTCAGCAGTCCATAGACCAGGAGCATGAAGTGGGCACACGGGAGGAGAGAGCCCATGCAGTGCTCTCTGCAGCTTTTACTTTTGTGCCCATGAAGGTTCTTTCTTGGGATACCATGGACACCACAGGTTGCCGACTGAAATTAGAGAAATGAGAATGTGAAATTGAAATTAATGAATTTGAGTTTAAGATTTCCTTTCTGAACTTAATCATATTTGGTCACATGCTCCATAGGTATTTATCTGGACTGTAGAATAAAACAGCTTATGGTCTTTTTTAAAGCAGAAAGATTCTTTTAAAAATTTATTGTTTTGTTGAGGTATAACTTACATACGGTAACATACACAAATCTTAAGACGGCTGCTCAGTGAATTTTTACATGTAAACAGACTCTCGTACCACCACCCAGATGAAGAAATAGAACCGTTCCTGGTCCCCAGGAAGTTCCTTGGCACCCTTCCTGGTTAATAACAACCCCGCCCCCAGCCATTGCTCTGATTTCTATCACCGTCGGTTAGTTTTACCTATTCTTGAACCTCGTGTAAGTCATACAGTATTTATTTTTATTCTGGTTTCTTTTACTGAATATTATGTCTGAGAGCATTGTTTATCTGTTGTACGTAGCAGCAGTCGATTCTTTTTAGTTGTTCAGTGTTCCATTCTGTCAGTATACCACGATTTGTTCTATCGATGGACTTTTGGGTTTCTAGAGGAGCTATTGTCAATAAAGCTGCTGTGACTGTTCAACATATTTTAAGGCGGACACATTGAGGACCTCAAAGTTGAAAGAATTTTACAGTGAATGCCTACAAAGGACTCCCCGTAATGTCAACTTACTATGGCGGCCACACGGGAAATTTTCATACTCCCTTTATCTAACCTTTGATTAAGCCGCAGCATAAGGAGGTGGTTAAGAGGAGGAGCCCCAGAATATCTGCGTTCAAGTCCTAGCACTTCTCACTGACAACATGTCCTCAGGCCTCGGTTATGAATAATGCCAGAACTATTTACCTCCCTGTAGTTTTTATTTCCTTTTATCTCACTGTTGGCGTATGACCTCTGCTGCCGCTGCTGCTATTGCTGCTGCTGCTTTTGGTAAACATTTCATTTTGGAATAATTTTAGATTTACAGAAAAGTTGTACACCTGTAGAGATCAGTATTCATCCTATCACTAGCTCTCTGTGAACCTCACTTCTTTGATTTTTTTCCCTACCAATTCTAACTGCTTTGGCTTCTCCAGACTCTCAGCTACTGCTCAACTCAGTGAGACCACCAGGTTTGCATCCGGACTCCCCTCCCTGCAGAGAAGACTTGGGAGGCCAGGCAGTCAGGCCGGGGCAGTCGAAGGGCTCACTCGTTGTTTTCCTTCTGTCAGATTCACTTGATTGTTCTGTTTGTTGTCCAGTGTCTGAAAACTTTTATTGCATATATTTTGCCCAGTTTTGCAGTTACTTAAAATAGGAGAGTTAATTCAGTCTCCGTTACTCCATTATGGCCAGAAGTAGAATTCTGGGTCTATTTTTGGTCATATTTACACCTAGGTTGTGGCCTTTCAGTCTCTGTTTTGACAGCGTGGGACGTTTATCAGGGCTCTGAACTCTGATTTTGTTCCTCTAATCTGTGAGTCTGTTAAAAACTGCTTAAAATTTTAGCCTGTTGGCTGCAGCTTTCAGAACCTGCAATCTCTTCTAGGGAAAAAACCACCTCCAGTGCTGTGTTCACACCTCTGGGCTTTGGGCTTCTGTCCTCTCTTGGATTTTGGCTCCGTAAGACCTTCTTTGGCAGGTCCCCAGTGCCTTCAGGTAGATGTTCACTATAGTTTTTTTCTGCTTTTCTTGTTGCTTTCTGGCAAGAGGGTTGGTTTGAAATAAACTAGTCCTTTAGTTCCAGAGTAATGGTAAGAAAAGCCTTACTCTCATCAATTCAGTTTTATTTCAGGATTTAAAAAGTCTGTATCTGAGGAAGCATAAAAAGTAGAAGGAAGATTAAAACCGGTCCCGTTAGCATAAAGAAAGGCTGTAACTGCAACCCACGGTAGCGTCATCTTTCTCGGCCACTGTCCTGCCTCGCAACTCAAATCCTGGCTCTGTTATTACCGTTATTACAGGACATGCTTCTTTGAATGCCTTGTAAGTTTTTTGTTGGCAACTTGACATCTTAGATAATAAGTATGTTAAGCAACTCTGGGGACTGGTCTTCCTACCCTCTGGGGTTTGTTATTTGCTTGTTTATTTGTTTAGCCACTGGCTGGATTGTTTTAGTGAAGTCTTTTCCCTTCCCACAATGAGAGGCCTCTGATGCTGCTCCTCAGAGCAGCACAGCTTTAGGTATGCCCACAGTCACCCTGGATGACAGCGG